TTTTCCCCTTCATTGTAATCTAGTAAATCAAGACACTACAAATAAGACACATAACAAGAGATGAGTAGTATATGCCTTACACATTACTTTTGCTATTTTTTAAAGATTAAATACAAAACAAATGATAAGTACACAGGAAAATAAGACAGACAAGAAATAACAAGAGTACAACTTAGTGCAAAATACAGCTCAATAGGACTAACAGTGCCTTGGGAACTGTCCAGGTGTCCCCACCACCAGTCTTGGAAAGATTTATGACTCTCAGAGAGAACAAACAAGTCAATCATTGACATTAACTGATTGGTAAGCATATGGACCAAAGAGATCCCACAGAAAGTTGTACTCCAATGCCTTTTAACATTCTCATTGAAGAATTTGCATCAGCTGGTGGAAGACCATTATTGCTTGAACCGAGGAGGAGCCCTGCTTTGTCAGATTTTAATCACGGTCATTCTACCAGGCACATGAAAAGCACTATGCACATTTTACTTTATTAAAAAGAGACAGCTTTACTTAGTGATTTGGAGAACAGGGGTGGAAGTTAGGACTCCTTGGTCCTGGTCACAGCTCTGCCACTGATTTACTGTGCAAGCTTGGGCATGTCATGTCCCCCTGTGCCTAAATTTGCCAGTCTGTCAACATCTACCTCACAGGAGTGTTCTGAGGCTTAATTCATTCACGTTCATAAGGGGGTTTGAGCGCCTCAGATAAAGGGCCAAATATTCAGTTGCTATAAATTGACATAGCTCTATTGCCTTCAATGGAGCTATGCTGATTTTACACCAGCTGAGGCTCTGATCTGAAAAATGCTATATAAATACAAAATATTACTATTTATTATAAATCCTCTCATCTCATAGGAATCCCACTATACATAGAATAGAGGATTAGGTCAGGTCAATAAATCAGACATTTTTTCTATGGGTGAGAAAATAAATAAATAAGCACCCCAAATTAGAACATCTGTTTCCAATACACATACCAAAATGACATACCAAGATGATCTCATCCCATTTAGATATACCATTTTCCAGCAGGTCTGCAGACCAGCCAGCTTGTCTTTAAATCATCTGCTGGAGGAGAGATCGTTCTTTGGTAGTTCAAATGAAAGAAATGGGTTCAAATGCTTAGTTATCTCTGACCAGTTTTTGTTTGGGAGCCTTTTGTAGTACGAGTTGTGCAGAGAAAGATGAAGACAGGCAGAAAAACAGCAAAGCTTCCATCTTGTATGCAGTTTTAGAAGGTGTCGGTAAACTCTTCTAAAGTAAACATCTAGTGAAATAAAAGCTGCAGTGTGCATACTATGTCCCCAGCTATGCTACACCCTGGTAGGACAAAAAACAAACAAACAAACAAAAAAAACCTGTTGTGTTATGTAAAGGTAAGTGGTGGAAGAAGCTGGGACATGGAGTTAAACTGAACTAAACTATTCTTAGAAACATAGAAAATTATACTTGCACATTTAAAAATATGGGTGAAATATGGACTCTGCTAAAATCAATGTCAAAATCCCCATTTGACTTCAGTGGAGCCAAGATTTCACCCTATGAATTTTAACCTCACTGTATCCCTATAACTGTCCCTGCACTATGATATAAAACATGTAGGCTGGGATTTTCACAGCTGCCTAAAGGATTTGGACACAATTCCCTGGGCATCCAAATGCCCTAGGCAATTTTAAAAATTTTAGTCATAAAATGTTTTCATTTAAACATTGGGGGGAGTTGGGACTGTTGGCTGAGTTCTCAGAAGGAGGAACTCCTGTGGGTCTACAAACACTATGCGGATCAGCAGTAAGTTGCTACACACTGTGCGTAAAGGTATTGCACCTTGGCTGTTAGCTAGTAATCAGACGTTGTGTTGTGTGGGTCAGCTAATGTTATCATGAGACCCACCCCTTTAATTTGTTCACTTTTTTTGCTTCTAAATTTGCAACCCAAACACAGCATTAAAATAGGGGTTCTGTTGCATTTATTATATTATAAAAGTTACAAGTATCCAGCAAAAACATCAACAAAACCAAACAAGTCCAACATCAAGCTACATCAACATTTACAGCAGCCCTGGTTTCCCAGCTTCATCAGTGAGATTGGGGTGGGGGGGGGGGGAAAGAGAAGAAATCCATTTTGTTTTTGCTGAAGTTGTTCCATGCTCTTGGAGTCTTTTCATTAAATAATTCTGAGCTGTTAAATGATGTGTCATCTGTTCCAATGGTAAATATTTTTTCCCCCTCCTGCGGATCCCAGCTTTATTTTTAAGTGGAGAGTCCAATGTCTATAATTAAGTCCATGTATTTCCTAGCTGGCAGTATTAGAAATGAAAGGCAACGTATTGTACAGCACGTATGCTTAAGAATAAGCTGTAAATAATAAAGACCAAGATTTTCAAAAGCAATGGAAGCTGCCGGGTGCTTTTGAAAAATCAGGCCTTTTATTCATAACTATATAGAGACTTAGAAAGCTAATTTAAGGCCTCAGTTTCTGATGATCCTGGCCAACAAGTCATCCCTCAGACCTTTTTGTACAGATGAGAATGTCGTAAGCAATGTGTATAGCATTTCATACACAGGTACCTGCTCTGTTTTTTGGAGATGGAGTATTCCTATTTTCAAATTTTCCAGGACCATGAGTGATCTAATCATGATTCAGTCTTTACTTACATCATCATATACTATTTGTTCTACAAAATCCCTGACTCAGACTCATGAATGAATCCGGAAAGTGCCTCAAGTTGGGCACTGAGAAAATGAACGGCACACACTGGTAGCCATTTGTGGAAAAAATTGGTTTAAGTGACTTGTCCAGCATCACACGGGAATGCTGTGGTAGAGGCAGGAACAGAATCTAGTTCTCCGGGGCTGCTTCAGCTGCCTTAACTGTAAGACCTTCCGGTCTCTTCCTGCAGTCACCTGCTTCATTCTCGATCACACCTTCCAATTTGTGCAACAAAAGAGGCAAGAGTCAGATAGACCACAGCCTCTTTCACTACAGAACCCTAAGTCACCCCCAGAGTAGGTAAATTCTGTGCATTGATTGAAGCAGGGTTCGGGGGGGGAGGGGGGGGAAGAGTGTGATTATATTCTTGTCCTTTAATTACATGATGTATACATATAAGAGGACTGAATTAAGCTTGCACAAGCAGTCTTAATTCTGGCATTTCCTAACTTTTGAGTGCTTCACTTTGCAACCTTAACAATGTTCTTTTAACTTTTGGATGTATATATTATATACAAGGGCCAAATCTGGTTCATTGTATTCCATGATCTATTATTCATATTTTGTGATCACTGAGACAACTAAGTCTTCGTGAAAGATTTGCAAATTTCAAAAGTTTCACACGTTATAGCATAAGTTAATATTCAACCCAAAATTAATACGGAAATGCATTATTTTTTATTTCTTGTTTAAATCCTGTCTGTTATTTAATAGGGGACCAGAACAATCCTGTGTGAGTTAAGTGGCCAATCACATGCCACAAATGAGTTAATAGCAAATAGTTAAAACTAACCCAAAAGGCTGGTAATTATCTAACTTATTTGGCATATACTTCTGACAGACGAATGCATTAGATAAATAATAGATTTCTGAATATTTTGCAAAATAGGGAAAAAAAGGCTAAATTTGTAATGAATAATTTCCCCAGCTACAGGTAAAATATAACTTCTTTTTTTGGTGAGATTTGCTCTCTGTCTCTGTGAAAGAAACAGAAAATAAGGCATTGTGTCCTTTCAATTACATTTTGTAGACACAACAATCACAGAAATCCACATACATATTATGGCCTGGTTTCCTAGTTACACTATGTGCTCACATTAGTGCCCTTGTGAACCAAATCCACAACCTGGCCCTTAAGTTGACTAAGACCTGGTCTACACAACAGAGTTAGGTTGGTATAAGTCACTTTGCGCTAACCATTTATGCATGTGTCTACACTCAAATTTGCCTCTGGTCAACATAAGCATCCTGTTATGGCAACACAGTAAAACCACCTCCTTGAATGGTGTAGCGCCATGGTCAACACACTTAGGTCATCTTAGTGCAAGTGTAGACACTGCATGACCTGTGTGGACCACAACAGTCCTCCAGCAGCTGTCCCACAATCCCTCATTCCCCATGGCAGTGACCACTCTGGTCACAATTTTAAACTTCATTGTCCATGAGTCACAGAGACCAGAAGCCACACACCCACCCCTTAAAAGCCCATGTATTTTTGAAATGCCTTTTCCCAGTTGCAGCTTACCTTTGTTGTATGCAACTGCCCAACCAACAATGCTAGCTCCACACAGATAGTAGATGTGCTCCTGGCTGGAGTAGACAGGAGATATTGGCTCTCCTGGGTCTGTGGAAGGAGGAGGCTGTGCAGGCACAGCCACAGACTAGCCATAGAAATGTGGACATCTACAAGCAGATTGCATGGGAGATGCAGGCAAAGGGGCATGACAGGGATGAGCAGCTGTGCCACATGAAAGTTCAGGATACAACTAGGTCAGGAAGGGCAACAATAGATCTGGTTGTGCCCCATGGACCTGCCTCTTCTACAACTACTGCCATATTTGGCTGTGACACCACCAGCACCCACAGACCACTGTGGATACCTCAAAAGAACCCAAGACAGAGACTCCTGCCATGAACAGTGAGGAGGAGGAGGAGGAAGACACAGCAGGGGACTCCAACCATGCTATGAGCCAGGAAACCCAGCAGGAATCTAGCCAGTCGTGCCACGCAAGTGCAGATGAGCCCATGGATGAAGGGGAAGGGAGTTTGGATAAGTGTGCACATGCATTTTTCCTTACAATGTTTACATTTGAAAATGGCTCCTGGCCAATCCCCAAAGTTAACAAGACAGAAGGTATTAACTTATCATTCCTTCACTCATATGCAAAGAACTAGATGTACAAACAGAGGTAAAGTCAGCATTTGCTTTTCATTTCCTCCGTTGGGTTAGGTGGGGAGAGGGCCATGCAGAGTCAATGTTTATGTGGATAGAGATGTCCCTTTTACCCTCCTGAGAAATCTTGATGAACTTTCATGGAGATACTCTGTGATCCTCTCCCAAAGTTTCTAGGGATGCACGTCTTATTTCTTCCTCCACAGTAGGACACCATGCCACTCTGATGACTTCAACAGGCACCATGGCAGTCAACAGGCTAGTGGCATGCAGATCTGGGCAGCTTTGGAGTGCCTGGATCATCTGTCTTTTCTGTGTCTTTGTGATCCTCAGAAGTGAGACCAGCTAAAACCACACTGCCTGTGAAAAATAGTGCCAATAGTCAGTGCCATTGCAGTACAGTTGTACCCTTAGAACAGGGACCAAAATGTAATAGATTCATGTAACAGAAAATCCCCGCCCCCATACACAGCAGGCCATACTTGCCATGGGTGGAACTGGACAGCAGGGAAAATATGTTCTTTTAACAGATATTTGTTTAAGCAAGCTCTAGTACAGGGGTGGGCAAACTTTTTGGCCCGAGGGCCACATCTGGGAATAGAAATTGTATGGAAGGCCATGAATGCTCACAAAATTGGGGTTGGAGTGCGGGAGGGGGTGAGGGCTCTGGTTGGGGTGCAGGCTCTGAGGTGGGGCCAGAAATGAGGATTTCAGGGTGCAGGAGGGGCTCCAGATGGGGGTGCGGGCTCTGGGCTGGGGATGAGGAGTTTGGGGTGTAGGAGGATGCTCCAGGCTGGGACCAAGGGTTTTGGAGGGTGGGAGGAGGATCAGGGCTGGGGCAGGGTTATGGGAAGGAGTGCAGGCTCCAGCTGGCAGTGCAGGCTCTGGGGTGGAACTGGGGATGAGGGGCTTGGGGTGCAGGAGGGTACTCTGGGCTGGGATTGAGGGGTTCAGAGGGTGGGAGAGGGTTCAGGGCTGGGGCAGGGGGTTGGAATGTGGGGGGTGGTAGCTCAGGGGTGCAGGCTCCGGGCAGTGTTTACCTCGAACGACTCCCAGAAGCAGAAGCCATGTCTCCCCTCCGGCTCCTATGTGGAGCCGTGGCCAGGCAGCTCTGCCCGCTACCCCGTCTGCAGTTCCTGGCAATGGGAGCTGTGGGGGCAGTGCTTGGGGTGGGGGCAGCGTGCAGAATGGAGCCCCCTGGCTGCCCCTATGCATAGGAGGCAGAGCGGGGCTATGCTGCTGCTTCCAGGAGCCGCATGGAGCAGCCCCCAACCCTGCCCCTTGGCTGGAGTGCTGGAGCGGGGCAAGCCCCACACCCTGCTCCCCAGCAGGAACTTGAGGGTCGGATTAAAATGGCTGGTGAGCCAGATCTGGCCCGTGGGCTGTAGTTTGCCCACCCTGGCTCTAGTATATGCGTGTCTCTCTATGCTGAATTTAAGTGTATTTTAGAAACGCTGCTTAAAATTATACTCCTTAGCTTTCCTTTTTCATACACAAACTAATCATTATGTAACCCAATAATGATCCCTGAGAGAAAACCACATAGGAGTAGGAAGAGGGCCTGAAACAATAGACTGCTTTCATTTACCTCTGACAATTAGCTTAAGGACTAGAGCATGGTACTTTTATGACTCAAATACTTTTCAGAACTTACTGCTACAGGGCACCATTAGCACAATCATGCATACTGTAATACTCATGCCCATGCCACAGTTCACATACTGTGTGAGGGTTCCAGGTTTCTGCTTTGCAAAAGTTTTCATGGCAGCCAGGCTTGAGCATTAAAAGTATTAGTTTACTAAAAATCAAAAGAAAGTAAGGACATTGTTTGTCAGGTCAGCCTCAGGAGGCAAACAGGTACAGCTTAGCTTTTGGAGTTACTTCCCTGCCTCAACTCCTCATTCCCAGAACAAGATTTTATAGCCTCTTCCTTAGGGTTACCATATTTTGTGCCTCCAAAAGGAGGACACTCCACGGGGGCCCGGCCCCGCCCCAGCCCCGCCCACCCCAACTCCGCCCCTTCCCAAAGTCTCCGCCCCCTCCCCTGCTTCCCGCGAACATTTGATTCGCGGAAAGCCTGAAGCAGGTAAGAGGTGTGTGGGGGGAGGAGGCGCGGCCCAGGCTGGCCCCCCCGGCGTTTCCAGCCTGGGTCGGCTCGGGCCCTGGGGTGCCGGCCCCGGG